GATGGAAAGGAGGCACTGAAACCCACCCTTTAAGTCCATCCAGCTGTGCCAGAGCCCTGCAAAGCCTCTCTTAGGGACCCGACCAGGAAGCGCGGGGTCCCTGCCCCAGGTGGAAGGCCGGGCTGTACCAGGGAAGGGGCATCCTGTCCTGTCTCCTCTGTGCCTTTTGGTTACCTGTGTCTGGCACGTTATTTGGCAGCTCAGGTCGATTCTGGGAGCAACCTGTGACTTCTGTGTGGCCCGACACCCCAGTCTTGCCTCTTCTGGCAAGGAAGTGCTCTGTGGCTGCGATCGCCCCGCGTTTCATGTCATTAGGCCCCGGCATGGGGTCGGGGAGGCTGACACTGAGGGGCATTCTAGTGCACGGATTGCCAAACCCGCCCCTGGATCACTAAGTACATCGGCAGTGACGCAGTTTTAAGAAAAGCTTTCAGTCGACGCACAGCGCTTGTACCTATCTGTCTGGTGCAGTGTGGCATTTCAGTACGTGGGTGCAATGTTCAGTGATCAGACCAAGATGGGTGCTAGGTCTCCGCCTCGGAGTTGGGAACCTGCGAAAGCCAACTGTGGGAAGCCAGCCATGGCCCACTGGCTTTTTGAAAGATAACTTCTTTCTTTATAATCAAGGCATTGACACAATGTGTGGTCAGGATGTTCCTAATTAGCATTTGTTAACATTTGTTCCTTTTTAAGGGCTGCACGTGTTAAACTTGTTTTTGACCCTGCACGGGAGAAACTCAGACAGCCAAAGATCTGTAGGAATCAGGTGTTGTAACTCCATTTTGTTAAGTTCCTCCACCTATTGTGGGAATCATGATTATTAGTTGCAAGTGGTGTTAATTTGTTTTTCTTGAGCCTGATTTCTTTCCCGTGTGAACCCTCGTTCCCGTGGAGCGGGTGTTGAGGTTACTATGGTAATCCTAGCCCATAATAGTTCGGTCTTTCCCTTTAAAAGGCTGATGCTTGCCTGCAACAAATGTCGCCTTGATCAGACTCTTGTCGGATCCTGTCATCCTTCCTTTCTCTCTGCCCCATCTCCACCCCGCTGCTCTTTCAGGTTTGAGACACTGCTGGACAGTGCTCTGCGTCGCTGGCTCGGGACAGCCAACGATTATCTGTTGTCCATCCTAGTTACTGCACTGTGCTTTAGAACATAAGGACTCACAACTCCTATCTGACTGCAACCCACAACAACCCCATCCTAAGTAAGGACTCGCACAGACTGGGGAGCGGTGACTGAGCCTCAGCACCATCCTAGTGCCGTGAAGAGCTGTCTGGTGGGTGCGGGTCCCAGATCCCTGATGACTAATGGTGTTGAGCCCCACATGGGCCTAGAGGCTATTGTTGTATCTCCTGCGGAAAACTATATGGTAAAACCACTGCCGTTTGTTCAATTATAATTATTATTTTTTTGGTCCCGGGAATCAAACTCCGGTCCTTGCGCTTGCAAGGCAGGCGGCAGAACCACTGAGCTAAGCTCCCGGCCCCTGTTTAATTAATAATTAAACACAATAATTAACCTTTTTATTGTGTTGTAAGAATTTTTTCTTATTCTGAATGCTATTTCCAGGTCACAAGTAATAAATTCATGGTATTTTATCCCATTCTGAGAGTTTTCCATTCACATTCTTTTGGGACCGGGATCGAACTCGGGACCTTACGTTTGCAAGGCAGGCACTTTGGCCTTGAGCTAAATCCTCCCCATTCATGTACTTGATGTCATCTTCTGAGGCACATCAGTTTTTAATTTTGAAATCCAGTTTTTTTCCTTTGTGCATTTTTAGTGTCATAACTTTAGAAAACATTTCTTAATACAAGGTTATAAAGGTTTTTCTATATTTTCCTTTAAGAAGTGTGGTCATTAATTTGAAGTCTTTTTTCAAACATTATTTCTTTAAAAGTTTCCCCTTCCCTTCTTTTTCTGCAATTTTATTATGTTTATGTTGTCATTCTTAATCGCAAGTTCATGAATTCTTCTAATTCAAATGTAATGTTGGTCTTCTCCAGTGAATTTTCTTTCTTGAGACAGGGACTCTCTTATATTCAAGCTGCCCTTGAACTCACTACATAGTCCAGGCTGGACTTGAGCTTGCACTGATCCTCCTGCCTCAGCCTCCCGAGTTCTGGGATTATAGGGTGCACCACTGTCGCAAGCCGCAACGTCAGGATCCTGCCAGCAGGTCCTAAACCTAAAAGGACGAGGACAGAGACAAAAAAGCACCTTTCTTCTCAAGTTTCTAGCTTGCTTTATTACAGAACCTCTTCCTTTTATACTCTCCAGCTGCATGGGCGCGAGGGCTGCACGGGAGCGAGAGTACGGCCCACACATTCCAGAGGGAAACAATAACAACCATTATGGGTTACATCTGCTAGGCAATAGATCAGACCACCAGCTGAAGTAGCCCATTGCTATAGCGACGGCAGGTCCACACTGCTCGGGTGAATCACAGGTCAATATGGCTGCGCTCATGTCGTGTTCCTTTACAGTGCTCTCCATACAAGACACATCCTGGAGTTCTCTCTGCTGCTTCAGTGTTGGGGTCCCAATCCGGTCTCCTCAGTGGAAACCCAGCTTCAAGCTGTTCAGGGATAGTGGTGGATCTATAAATGTACCTGTAACCGTAAGTAGGTGGAGCAGAAGAAAAGGGAGAATACCTGGACCAAAAGGTTATTATCATGAACAATATGCTGGAAAACCTACATGGTCAAGCAATATGAATACATTTTGTATACCAGATATGAATTCTTATGTCCTGAAATGTAGCTTTGTATCAATAGGATCTTCCTTTTTTTTTTAA